TCAGTGGGACAGAGAACTGGTAGGAAAATCAGTAAACGAGATGATGGAATATGTAGCAACAAAGTGCAAGGAGGAAGAGGAAAGGTTTGTTCCAAGGGAAATAGAAACAATAGGAAGACCAAAGCGAGTCCTTGGTTTACCCGAAGGTGTAGGGAGGCAAAAACTAAGTGAACCAGAGAATGGAAAAGGTACAGGAGGCAAAGGACCCAGGGAAATAAGGAGATTTGTAGAAGTGCCAGAAACGAGTATGCACAGATAAGGAGGGAGGCCCAGCGACAGTACGAGAACGACATAGCATCGAAAGTCAAGTCTGACCCGAAACTGCTGTATAGCCACATTAGGAGGAAGACAACAGTCAAAGACCAGGTGAAAAGGCTGAGGAAAGAAGGTGGGGAACTCACAAAAAACGATCAAGAAGTATGTGAGGAGCTCAATATGAGATTTAAGGAAGTATTTACAGTGGAGACAGGAAGGCCTCTGGGGGGACAGAACAGAGGGGGACACCAGCAAGGAATATACCAACAAGTGTTGGATGACATACATACAAATGAGGAGGAGGTGAAGAAGCTGCTAAGGGACATCGATAGCTCAAAGGCAATGGGACCGGACATCTCCCCGTGGGTCCTTAGAGAGGGAGGGGATAAGCTGTGTGTGGCACTTACCACAATCTTCAACACATCCCTGGAAACTGGGCAACTACCTGAGGTATGGAAGACGGCAAATGTAGTTCCCATTTTTAAAAAAGGATACAGAAAAGAGGCACTAAACTATAGACCTGTGTCACTGACGTGTATAGTATGCAAAGTTATGGAGAAGATTGTCAGGAGAGTGGTAGAGCACCTGGAACGGAACAAGAGTATAAACGTCAACCAGCACGGATTCATGGAAGGCAAATCCTGTGTCACAAACCTACTGGAGTTTTATGATACAGTAACAGAAGACACGAGAGAGAGGGGTGGGTTGATTACATCTTCTTGGAATGCAAGAAGGCCTTTGACACAGTTCCTCACAAGAGATTAGTGGAGAAGCTAGAGGATCAGGTGCATATAACAGGAAGGGCACTGCAATGGATCAGAGAATACCTGACAGGGAGGCAACAGCGAGTCATGGTACGTGACGAGGTATCACAGTGGGCACCTGTGACGAGCGGGCTCCCACAGGGTCGGTCCTAGGACCAGTGCTATTTTTGGTATATGTGAACGACATGATGGAAGAGTTAGACTCAGAAGTGTCCCTGTTCGCAGATGATGTGAAGTTAATTAGGAGAATTAAATCAGATGAGGATCAGGCAGGACTTCAAAGAGACCTGGACAGACTGGACACCTGGTCCAGCAACTGGTTTCTCGAATTTAACCCTGTCAAATGCAAAGTCATGAAGATCGGGGATGGGCACAAAACACCGCAGACGGAGTATAGGCTAGGGGCCAAAGACTGCAAACCTCGCTCAAAGAGAAAGATCTTGGGGTGAATATAACACCGAGCATGTCTCCGGAGGCAAACATCAACCAGATAACTGCTGCAGCATACGGGCGCCTGGCAAACCTGAGAATAGCGTTCCGATACCTTAGTAAGGAAACGTTCAAGACACTGTACACTGTGTACATCAGGCCCATACTGGAGTATGCAGCACCAGTTTGGAACCCACACCTAGTCGAGCACGTCAAGAAATTAGAGAAAGTGCAAAGGTTTGCAACAAGGCTAGTTCCGGAGCTCAGGGGTATGTCCTACGAAGAAAGGTTGAGGAAATCGGACAGACGGCATTGGAGGATAGGAGAGTCAGGGGAGACATGATAACGATATACAAAATACTGCCTGGAATAGATAAGGTAGACAGAGACAGGTTGTTCAGAGAGGGGACACAGAAACAAGGGGTCACACTTGGAAGCTGAAGACTCAGACGAGTCAGAGGTATGTTAGGAAGTATTTTAGTTAGAGTTGTCAGGAAGTGGAATAGTCTAGCAAGTGATGTAGAGGCAGGAACCATACATAGCTTTAAGACGAGGTATGACAAAGCTCTGGAAGCAGAGAGAGGACCTAGTAGCGACCAGTGAAGAGGCGGGGGCCAGGAGCTGAGTCTCGACCCATGCAACAACAATTAGGTGAGTACACACACACACACACACGACATAAAGCTACAAGATTGGCTCGTAGATGTATTACAGTCGCTGATAGAGGAAGGCATCCCTGATCCTACAAGCCCAGCCTCCTCTACCTTAGTGCACACAAAAACAACACTGAAGGAAGGCTGATAAAATTCTAACGCAGCAAACTATAAAATATATATTCATACGTATTTATGTATGCATGCATGTGCATATGTGTGTGTGTTTGCATATGCATGATGAATATACACTTTTCTGTACGTATACATGTGTGCTTATGTATATGTGTGTGTATGCATGTGTGCGTATATCGAGTCTCTTTAGGGTATTCGGTAGGACTGATGAATTCTCCATGTATGGCAGGACGAGCACATTCTTGCTACGAGGGATCATTCTACGTTCAGTCCTCTGATAAGTTTTTCTACCTGCCAACAAACTTCTCTCTACAAATTCCATAGTATAACAGTTTTTTTTAGCAATATCGAAGATCGCGATTCTTGCATATAATTATATATATATATATATATATTATATATATATTTATATATATTATATATATATATATATATACATGTATAATATATATATATATATTTATATATATATATATATATATACTTATATATATATATATATATATATATATATATATATGCAATAAGATCACAGTAAACAGGTGATTTCAGAATATGCAAAACAACCACTCTGAAAGAATAGAGAAATTCCAAGCGCTTTCGTGACTACTCACATTATCAAGGAAACTATGATAATGTGAGTAGTCACGAAAGCGCTTGGAATTTCTCTATTCTTTCAGATTGGTTGTTTTGCATATATATATATATATATATATATATATATATTATATATATATATATATATAATATATATATATAGATATATATATAGTGTGTGTGTGTGTGTGTGTGTGTGTGTGTACTCACCTAGTTGTACTCACCTAGTTGAGGTTGCGGGGGTCGAGTCCGAGCTCCTGGCCCCGCCTCTTCTACTGATCGCTACTAGGTCACTCTCCTGAGCGTGAGCTTTATCATACCTCTGCTTAAAGCTATGTATGGATCCTGCCTCCACTACATCGCTTCCCAAACTATTCACTTACTGACTACTCTGTGGCTGAAGAAATACTTCCTAACATCCCTGTGATTTATCTGTGTCTTCAGCTTCCACTGTGTCCCCTTGTTACTGTGTCCAATCTCTGGAACATCCTGTCTTTGTCCACTTGTCATTCCTCTCAGTATTTTGTATGTCGTTATCATGTCCCCCTATCTCTCCTGTCCTCCAGTGTGTGTGTGTGTGTGTGTGTGTGTGTGTGTGTGTGTGTGAATTTATGTATGCGTGAATGCAAACATACATATGCGTAAGTACGTGTGTGTACATATAAACAATTAATGCGATCACTTGGTGATTGCCCTAGAGTTAACTTAAGAATAATTTTTGTAAAATATGTACTCAGTGGCCACTTTATTAGGTACACGCTTATGGTACTGAGTAGATTTCCCTCTTGCTCCCAGAACAGTCTGAATTCTTGGTATCATGGGTTCAACAATTTGCTGGAAACATTTCTTAGAGATTCTGGTTCATGCTGACGTGATAGCATCACACAGTTGCTGCAGATCTGTCGGTTGTACATTCATGCTGGGAATCTCCTGTTCCACCACATTCTGACCTTACCTATGTACATGTCACGGCAGAAACCGCGATTCTTCAGACCAGGCAACGTTTTTCCAATCTTCAACTGTCCAGGTTTGATGAGCCTGTGCCCAATGTTGCCTCAGTTTCCTGTTCTTAACTAACAGGAGTGGAACCCGGTGTAGTTTGCTGCTGTAACCCATCCACTTCAGCATTCTACGTGTTGTGCATTCAGATATGCTCTTCAGCATACCGCTGTTGTAACGTGTAGGTATTTGAGTTACTGTCACCTTCCTGTCATCTTGAACCAGTCTGACCATTCTCCTCTGACCTTTTTCATTATCACAGCATTTTCTTCCACAGAACTGCCGCTCACTGTATGTTTTGTATTTTTCACGTCATTCTTTGTTAACTCTAGAGACTGTTGTGCTTAAATATCCCAGTAGATCAGCAGTTTCTGAGATACTCAAACTATCCCGTGTGTCTGGCACCAACAATCATTGTACAGTCACTCACATCACATTTCTTCCCCATTCTAGTGCTCAGTCTGAAGTACAACTGAACATCTTGACTATGACTGCAAGCTTGTAGGTATTAAGGTGCTGCGACTTGATTGGCTGATTAGATATATGCATTAACAAGCAGCAGTATATAGGTGTACCTAATAAAGTGGCCCCCGAGTGTATATCTGTGTTCAGAGTGTATTAAAAATCAGTTTTATTCGGGAATATGCTCTCCCGTTTATATCACAGAAACTAAGAATGAAAGTTTGAAGCCAGTCAGAAAAGTCATTTTCCAGTAATTTATCCGATTCCAACAATTCAAAGTTTATTTGACAATTCGGTAAAATTGGAAATTTGCATGTATAAACACAAACTAAAAAATACCATCCTTCTTACAGAATGGATCAGTGTAAATAGTTTGAAGCCAAGCAGTAGAAGCATTCTTTAGTTATGAATGTAACTAATTATTCGACAGATCTGACAAACTAGGACTTATGAAGATCATTAAGAGTGCGAACCTTGTTTCCAGGAAACATCACTGGTGGAAAATTTGAAGCCGACCAGGAGAGTCATTCTCAGGTAAGCAACGGATAACAACGATTCCAAATTTTTCAGTTATGTTGTTACAGTAACGACGGCGTCATCACACAAACATAACTTAACCAGATATTAAAAAGTGAAGCTGTTGAGAGAAAAATATAATAAAATACATTTAACGTTATTTAACGGCGCCAAGACTTTTGTCCGACAGACGCTGCGGCGGCGGACATTTTACCCAGGAATATTTGACCGAACTGACACATGGCAGAACATTCATCGCAGTGTCTTTCCCAAACATTAACAAGACGATATAAAAATAACAAACAAAATTTTAAAGGCCATTAAATAAAAAACATAATATAACCTAATTATCCGTATGTCCGTCGGTGAAGTGTCCGTCGGTGAAGTGTCCGTCGGTGAAGTGTCCGTCGGTGAAATGTCCGTCGGTGAAGTGTCCGTCGGTGAAGTGTCCGTCGGTGAAGTGTCCGTCGTTGAAGTGTCCGTCGTTGAAGTGTCCGTCGGTGAAGTGTCCGTCTGTGAAGTGTCCGTCGGTGAAGTGTCCGTCGGTGAAGTGTCCGTCGGTGAAGTGTCCGTCGGTGAAGTGTCCGTCGGTGAAGTGTCCGTCTGTGAAGTGTCCGTCGGTGAAGTGTCCGTCGTTGAAGTGTCCGTCGGTGAAGTGTCCGTCTGTGAAGTGTCCGTCTGTGAAGTGTTCGTCGGTGAAGTGTCCGTCGGTGAAGTGTCCGTCGGTGAAGTGTCCGTCGGTGAAGTGTCCGTCGGTGAAGTGTCCGTCTGTGAAGTGTCAGTCGGTGAAGTGTCCGTCGGTGAAGTGTCCGTCGGTGAAGTGTCCGTCGGTGAAGTGTCCGTCGGTGAAGTGTCCGTCTGTGAAGTGTCCGTCGGTGAAGTGTCCGTCGGTGAAGTGTCCGTCGGTGAAGTGTCCGTCGGTGAAGTGTCCGTCGGTGAAGTGTCCGTCGGTGAAGTGTCCGTCGGTGAAGTGTCCGTCTGTGAAGTGTCCGTCGGTGAAGTGTCCGTCGGTGAAGTGTCCGTCGGTGAAGTGTCCGTCGGTGAAGTGTCCGTTCGGCCAATCGTCCTTGAGTCAAGTGTGTAGAGGTTGTGTCCGGGAACGGATTTAACGGGAATAAAAGTCTCGTCATATTTTACACACAAAAAAGGTTAAGTCTGCAACAGGACATTTAAAGGTCACTCTCAGTCGTCGGAGAATTAGGAAGGTCACCTTTTTTTGAACGTTTGAAAGTAAACCCCTGAGGGTTCTCGAGTTTGAAGTCATTCAAGGAAGTTTTAAGCCGATAGAATGAAGAGTTTCCGAGTTATGAGAGAATAAAAACGAGAAATTGGAGGAAGACAAAAAAAAAAAATTGGCATCCATTGCAAAGTCTCCTTTATGAGTTACATAATAATAATAATAATAATAATAATAATAATAATAATAATAATAATAATAATAATTTAATAATGAATAATAATACACAAAAATCACATGAAAAAATATATAAGACGTATATGTAATTTGACCATTTATAAATTACACATAATATAATAATAATATATATAATAATAATAATATAATAATTTATAATAATAATATTATTTTATATGAGTAGTGGGGGGGGTTGAAGAGGGTTGGAATAGTTTTAAAAATGCAGTATTAGAATGTGGGGCAGAAGTTTGTGGTTATAGGAGGGTGGGTGCAGGAGGAAGAGGAGTGATTGGTGGAATGATGAAGTAAAAGGGTGTGATAAAAGAGAAAAAGGATAGCTTACGAGAGGTTTTTACAAACGCAGAAGTGTTATAAGAAGAGCAGAGTATATGGAGAGTAAAAGAAAGGTGAAGAGAGTGGTGAGAGAGTGCAAAAGGAGAGCAGATGAAGAGTGGGAGAGGCACTGTCAAGAAATTTTAATGAAAATAAGAAAAAAAAATTTGGAGTGAGTTAAACAAGTTAAGAAAGCCTAGGGAAAGTATGGATTTGTCAGTTAAAAACAGAGTAGGGGAGTTAGTAGATGGGGAGAGGGAGGTATTAGGTAGATGGCGAGAATATTTTGAGGAACTTTTAAATGTTAAGGAAGAAAAGGAGGCAGTAATTTCATGCACTGGCCAGGGAGGTATACCATCTTTTAGGAGTGAAGAAGAGCAGAATGTAAGTGTGGTGGAGGTACGTGAGGCATTACGTAGAATGAAAGGGGGTAAAGCAGCTGGAACTGATGGGACCATGACAGAAATGTTAAAAGCAGGGAGGGATATATAATGATCGAGTGGTTGGTATTTTTGTTTAATAAATGTTTGAACGAGGGGAAGGTACCTAGGGATTGGCAGAGAGCATGTATAGTCACTTTATATAAAGGGAAGGGGACAAAAGAGACTGTAAAAATTATAGAGGAATAAGTTTACTGAGCATACCAAGGAAAAGTGTACAGAAGGGTAATTATTGAAAGAATTAGAGGTAAGACAGAATGTAGGATTCGGATGAGCAAGGAGGTTTTAGAGTGGGTAGGGGATGTGTAAATCAGGTGTTTACATTGAAGCATATATGTGAACAGTATTTAGATAAAGGTAGGGAAGTTTTTATTGCATTTATGGATTTAGAAAAGGCATATGATAGAGTGGATAGGGGAGCAATGTGGCAGATGTTACAAGTATATGGAATAGGTGGTAAGTTACTAAATGCTGTAAAGAGTTTGTATGAGGATAGTGAGGCTCAGGTTAGGGTGTGTAGAAGAGAGGGAGACTACTTCCCGGTAAAAGTAGGTCTTAGACAGGGATGTGTAATGTCACCATGGTTGTTTAATATATTTATAGATGGGGTTGTAAAAGAAGTAAATGCTAGGGTGTTCGAGAGAGGGGTGGGATTAAATTATGGGGAATCAAATACAAAATGGGAATTGACACAGTTACTTTTTGCTGATGATACCGTGCTTACGGGAGATTCTAAAGAAAAATTGCGAAGGTTAATGGACGAACTTGGGAGTGTGTGTAAAGGAAGAAAGTTGAAAGTGAACATAGAAAAGAGTAACGTGATGAGGATATCAAATGATTTAAAGAAAAATTGGATATCACATTGGTGAGGAGGAGTATGGAAGAAGTGAATGTTTTTAGATATTTGGGAGTTGATGTGTCAACAGATGGATTTATGAAGGATGAGGTTAATCATAGAATTGAAGAAGGAAAAAAGGCAAGTGGTGCGTTGAGGTATATGTGGAGACAAAAAAGTTATCTATGGAGGCAAAGAAGGGAATGTATGAAAGTATAGTAGTACCAACACTCTTATATGGGTGTGAAGCTTGGGTGGTAAATGCTGCAGCGAGGAGGCGGATGGAGGCAGTTGTCCTGTCTAAGGACAATGTGTGGTGTAAATATTGTGCAGAAAATCCGGAATGTGGAAATTAGGAGAAGGTGTGGAGTTAATAAAAGTATTAGTCAGAGGGCAGAAGAGGGGTTGTTGAGGTGGTTTGGTCATTTAGAGAGAATGGATCAAAGTAGAATGACATGGAGAGCGTATAAATCTGTAGGGAAAGGAAGGCGGGGTAGGGGTCGTCCTCGAGAAGGAGGTTTTGTGGGGGAGGGGCTTATACTTCCAGTAAGCGTGCGTGAGCGTGTTAGATAGGAGTGAATGGAGACGAATATTTGGGACTTGACGATCTGTTGGAGTGCGAGCAGGGTAATATTTAGTGAAGGGATTCAGGGAAACCGGTTATTTTTATATAGCCGGACTTGAGTCCTGGAAATGGGAATATGTTGTGTATCTTTATACGTATATGCTTCTAAACTGTTGTGTTCTGAGCACCTCTGCAAAAACAGTGATTATGTGTGAGTGAGGTGAAAGTGTTGAATGATGATGAAAGTATTTTCTTTTGGGGATTTTCTTTCTTTTTGGGTCACACTGCCTCGGTGGGAGTATATATACAATATACATATATATATATAATATATATATATATATATATATATAATATATATATATATATTATATTCACAAACACTATTCTCAAGTCGACGGAGACTCGAACCTACGAACCCTGGAACAAGGTACGGAGTGCTCTACCACCGTACCACACTGGTCCAATACCTCGGCACATAGCTAACGCTAGGCGTGTTGATCCAAGGCAGCCAGCCTTCAGGCAGATGCTGTTAAGCTTTTTCATCTCATCCCCTACGTGCATCGACTGACCAGAGATTTTTACAACGTTTATAATTCGCAGAATAGACGAAATACTCCCGTCACTGCCTTCTCTAGATGTTTCTATTATTAAGGGTAACAATGATTTTAAATTTAAAATTTACAGAAAACTTACAAATAACTTTTGCTATGTCCACTATTGTTCTTCACATCAAGATAGAGTTAAACTGTCTGTTTTCTCGTCAATGTTTTTTGAGAGTTTTGCGCATTTGTAGTCCAGAGTTCATAGATGAAGAAATATCCAAAATTTATGAAATAGCTAATGATCTAAAATACCCAAGAAACGTAATTGATAAATCTTTTAAAGTAGCTAGAAATACTTTTTACAACCCAAAAAGGGACAACCAGCCTTATTCAACTAAAAATATGTTGGTTCTCCCTTACCATGAAAACTTGGTTGATATGTCTTCTCTTCTTAAGACTTTTAATATTAAAGTTGTATTCAAAAATCTTGATACAGTATAAAAACTTTTGATAAAGAATTCCCCCCAAAATGCTGATGGATGTGTCTATAAGATTCCTTGTAAAATTTGTGATAAAGTTTATTACGGTCAAACTGGTAAAAATCTCGAACTAAGATTAAAACAACATAAATATAGCATTTGAACTGGACAAGATTCCAATGCTCTATTTATTCATGTGAGAAATTTTAACCATCCAATTGATTTTAATGAGACTGAGAAAGTTACAGTAAGCAAGTTCATGGTCGACAGGAATATAATAGAATGTATCATAAAAAGTAGTTTTGAAAATAATATATTTCATTTGGTTTGTATAAATTAGATTCATTTATAATTAAAAAAAATTGGGAAGAATTTAGGGTACATTAGACAAATTTTTGGGTAAAATATAAGCTGTGTTTCACGGATCACTGACTACGTACCAACATCATCATAAAAACGTCAGGTGTTGTTGTGTGTGGCAGCGAGGTGTAGTCTCGTCCTTATATGCCTTACTGTTAACCTTTTATTTTTGTAGTTCCTTGATAATGTGAGAAGTCACGAAAGCACTTGGAATTACACTATTTTTTCACAGTGGTTGTTCTGCATATAAAATATATATATATATATATATATATATATATACACACACACATGTATATGAGTGTGTGT